AGTAAGAGCCAACGTAACAACTTTGCATTGAGACTGACCTTTCACAGGCGTGTATGTGTGTATAAAGGGATGATATAAGGGTTTTTCTGAAGCCTCGAAGGAATCTATTGTCCTGCCGAAAGGTGAAGTTATTATTATCATTTAATCATTTCAAACACCAGGATTACGAAGTACACCCACTAATTTTACCTACAGATACCACAAGGGAAATAGCCACAGGGTTCCATGAGCAGGAGCAGGAGGACTGCCTCCTGATGCTTCAGAGTTCTCCAAATGACTGCAGAAGTCTACATGGTCTCCCGAAGACATCCAGGAAAAAGGCTGATGGGTGAGTCAGTTCCAAAGGATTTATGTAGCAATCAACAGCAAGTATAGAAGGGTTTACCCCGAGGAGTTACCCTGCTGAGGTCAGGAGCAGGTTGTGACAAGGTCTGAAGCAGCTTAGAGCAGGCTAATACAGACACATTTCAGAGCCAGGGGTAGGATTCTGTCCCAGTTCTGAGCAAGGAGACAGAAACAAACCTTTAGCTCTTGTTCCAGACTCTACTTAAAAACTACAGACCCCAGGGCTCTAAACAAAGGCAGCCAACACAACCCTTTCTTTAATCCTCGAATTCATGAGCAACCCAGCTCCCAACACAAAACCAAAAACTCAGCCAGGGTCAAAAACAAACAAACAAACAAAAAAAAAAAACACCAGCAAAAAGTTCTGTAAAGTAAAAAGGGAAGGGAGAGAGAAACAGGAGGTCCTGCTGAACCTGAGTCTGATAGGAGTGTGAGATTCTTTCTCTGACACCTCAGAACCCAGGAAGGAACCTGAGCACAGAGAGGGGCACAAGTAAATATACAATTCAATGCAACACATAATTACACACGGAGTATACTGCACATGTAATTATGCTGGGCTGCGGCTGGGCTGGTATTTACCAAGTCCTCCCATAAACTAGAGTCAAAATGGGAAGAGCAATCGGGACAGCTCGTCATTCTCCAACACCCTTCTAAGAGGTTACCTCAGTGAGCTGGGTTCCCCAGAAGTGGCTGAAAGTGACTGAACTTGGCCATGAACTTTTTTTTTTTTTATGAAGCCAATTTATAATGATGTCATGCATTATCTGCTATGGAAATGTAAGACATGGGTGGAGAGATATGCATATCATAGAATATCTCTATATACTTATGTACTATATAAAAGTCTTTAAAATTCTAAAATATGTTACAGCTGAAAAATACTGCAGTTTTGGTTTTTTTTAAGCCAGCTTAAATTTAATAGAGTGTTTAAATTCCTAGTTAATGGTAATTAGAGACCAAGCAGTATTTCTTTAAACTCTGCTAGACAGAACTTAATCCAATTTGGTAATCACTAACCTCTGGGCTTTTTTCCCCTCTCCTTCTCCGAAATGAAATCCAAGCATTGATCTACAAAGGCTATAAACTGGCAAAGCATAAGAAAAGAATATTTAAAGAGAGATTGAGTGACTGTTACCTCAAAGGGCCAAGTCCAATTAAAATGGAAACGGGTCTCAAGGGCTCCCTCACTTCAACCGTTTATAAACTGGCACAAGAAATAACAAAAGGCACTCCAAGGGGGTGGGGATTTAGATTCCCACTGCCCCCCCATCTGAGAAGCGCATCAGGGCATATCATTCATTACTGTCTTATATGACAGTGTGAGTGGGGGCCATGCCTTCCCAAGCCTATATAGGCTTTGTCTCTATATCCTTTCCTTCCATCCTTTCAGGCCTTTGAGTCCCATGACTCCCTTTTCCCCCATTGTAGTTTCCCCTCTGATTCAGAAACTTCCATGTAAACCGCTGGAACCATCTTGAGAACTTGGGAGTCTGCCAACATGTGCATTATCTCAAGCTGATTTCTGATGGCTTGTCATTGTCTTGTGTCATCTGTGTCCCCAGCCCCCTCCTTGACTCCAGTGTGGAATCTTCCCTTGTAATAGTAATGCCTTCTGCTTAGTGGGTAACCACTGACTCCAAGTTCTGAAACCTGAATCCTGGACAAAACACACAAGATATCTTGCCTTCAAATTTCAGCCACAGAGGCATTGTGTTAGTGAATGAATATTGTCTGTAAGCGTGGTCTCTAACATGTTTACAGTCCACACAGAGGGAAGTAGCTCTACCGACCAAGCCCTTCAGGACAGGCACTGTAAGCAATCCTTCAGAGACCCACATACTAGTGCAATCCTATGCTGGTCCGGTTCAGCAGAAAAACGACTAAAGAGATAAAGTCTGCAGTTCAGAAGAGAGTTTGCATTTGTTTTACCTGGTACAAGGGATGTATCAAAGCAAGGCCACAGGAACACACATTCCTATCTCCGAGACAGAGAAATCAGAACAGAGCTGAAGGATCAGAAGGGTTGTGCTGGGTCGCACCTTCTCCAGATGTGTGGATAAAATGTTGAACATACAGTAAGTTAATGAGTAACGTTCCAGTCAGGCCCGTCAGGGTTAGGTTTTCAGGTGCTCATTGCAGTGGTGTTCTAAGACAAGATGAAGGGCTTTCGCAATAATTGTGCAGCTCTAGGACATTTGAAAAAAAAACAACAACAACACAGCATGGGGAGCACAGAAATGGCTCTGTTGGTAAAGTTCTTGACATACAAGTCTGGAGACCTGAGTTTGGATTCCCAGGACTCACATGTGAAGCCAGAGCTGTGATACCAGCACTGGGGCAGGTGTACACAGGAGCAGCCCAGTGACGTGCTGGCCAGCCAACTAGCAGAATCAGTGAAAGACCCTGCCTCAAAAAATAGAGATCAAACCGAGGAAGACATTCACACTGACCTCTGGCCTCTGCACATATGCAATGCACTGAAATATACAAATGCATACAGACATAACATGCAGCACACACATAAACACACACTCAAATGTAATCAACTCTATGATGAGCTGGTGAACCTCTGGGGAATCCAACAGAAAGGAAGGGTATCTCCAGCCTCCTAAAGAGGCAATCTATTCTGGGCTCCACCCCCCCATGCAAGTAGCCTAAGACAGACTCCTGACATTCTCTGAGCCCAGTGTGCTCACCTATTCAGCGTGCGCGCGGTAGTACTGCAGCAACATTTGGTGAGGATCACGTCGTATTACCAGCTTAAGTGCAAAGTGTCACCATAAAGTGTGAAAAGATGTTAACAGCTTCCCCTGTTTTCAGAAGGCGTTTTTTTTTTTTTTTTTTTTTTTTTTTTTTTAGTTTAAAACCACACCTACTGAAATAAACACATACCATGCCCCTCCAGATCTGAAAGAAATAAGCTTCAGCCTTCTGGAAACCAGATAGACTCAGGTTAAACCTAATGTACCCAGCAGGCTTATTTCTACTTCCAGCTTACTTTTGCATTTGAATAGGTCGAGCTGTTACAAGTGTAGTTAAGACACTAGAACAATGAGTGGGTGGGAATGGAGAAACCCGAAGATAACTTTGTAGCTGGGCCAACCATTGCTTCTTTTCTCTGGAAGGCAACATGCTATAGAAACCACTCTCCATGGTACAGTGCTTCTTTCTATTCTGCTCCCAGTCCACCTGGCAGATATATAAAGAACCTCGCTGGGAGCTAGTTTTAAAATGTGGCTAAATTAATTTCCCTCCTGACTCACTTGCAGTTTCGTGGTATCAGTACCAGCACCTTCTACGGCCAAAGCAATTTAGCAGAAATGGCAATGACGTTTTGAAGGATGCGGGGGAAATACTATTCTATATTCTACTATTACTTCAAACCTTCGTTGGTCAAGATTACTAGTAGATGGCCAAAGGCGATCTACTTGTCTTGATGGATGCCATGCTGGAAGCTGGCAGAGGGGTAGGGGAAAAGAGGCTGATGGGATAGAACGTGACTATCTGAGATTGTTGTGGTCCTTATCATGGGTTATCTGAATTTGCATGTGTCTGCTGGGCACGGATTCTAAAATTCCACCCAAGCAGAGATGCCTGGAGGCTTTTTCCATGCGGGTCTCCGCAGCAGACGTGTAGCTGAGCCATCGCGCGTAAGCATCTCGTCTTGTAGGGCGCGACTCGGATCAGTAATTGAAACCTTGCACACCGCAGGATTGCAGTGGCGTCTATAAATACTCTCCACTTTACTGCTGACAAGCAAAACGCGGGCTTCTGGCACCGCGGAGGAAGAGGCGGCGGTGGCATGTGATCCCGGACAGGGCGCGGGTAGAAATCGGGGAAACCCCTACTGCCAACGAAGGCATCACCCCAGAGTCTATTCCAGAAGGACCCTTCTCAAGCACACCTGGTCCGCGGCGCAGCCCAGGGACGAGTGGGCGCGAGTCCTGGGAACCGACAGTCCCGCCGCCGGGCGAGGGCTCCACAGCGACCCCTGCGCGCAGAAACGCGCAGTGCGCACACGAGGCGCGCAGAGGAAATCCCGGCCCAACGCCCCGCGGGCGCGAAAGTCGAAGCGGAAAGGGGACACCGTGGACGCCCGGCGCTAAGCTGTCCCGAGCTTCTCGCCACCAAGGGCCAGGTCTCCCTTGGGATGTCTCCTGGCTACAGCGGCCTGCCCAGCGCACCGGGCCAAGTGGCCGCCCTCTACAGCCTCGGCTCCCACGCCTCCCTTCGGGAAAGAAGGGGGTGGCTGAGAGGGTCGGTTTCCCGGCAGAGTAGCCAGCCCCCTGAGCAGCCGTGGCTCTGTAGACCTGCTTCTCCGGCCGTGGGAGGACGAGACAGACACACTCTTTTTCTTTTTGCTGCCTCCTAGCTCGCTATGGGTCCCACAATCGGCAGCATCCCCCAAAGCCGTTCACAGAGCTTCCTACACCACCACGCCCGGGGGGCCTTCCCTACCCACTTCATGGTGGTCTACCTCCCCGCCGACAGCATCCGTGGCGGAGGCTCCTTAACCACGCGGAGTCTCCTCTCAGTCTCTCTGTCCCTGTGGCCCCTCTCCCACCCCCAGATCACGCCAAGCAAGTTATTTTCCAAGCCTGTTGAGTCGTAGAACGGATGACTCCAGCCCCTCCAGGGACTTCCCCACTCACCCCCTTGGGGTCCCCGGCGTGAGTCACCCGAGCCGAGCCGAACCTCGCACACCCGCCGCTCGCCTCCGTCCCAGACTGCGCGCGCAGGAAAAAAGTTTCCGGCGTTCCAGGGAAACTTTTATCGCTGGAGAGAAACTAACTATGTGTGGATGGTTTTCGCCTTGTTCGTTCTCTCTAGGTCCTCTCCCTGCTCTGCCCTCCGGCTGGTCACGTCCAGCCCGGGTTTCTCTCCGGCATAGTCTCAAGAGTCCGGCTGGTGGCTTTCCCTCCCCTCTCAACTTACGGCCGCCTCCTCTTCTCCTCCCCCTCCTCCTCCCACTTTTCCTGTCCGGTGCACATCGTTCTAGTTTCTCTCCAACGCCCCCCGCCTCTCTTCACCCCATCCCACGCCTCCTCTCTCCAACAACAAGAGGAGGCAGGGGGACCCTGCGCTTAACTGCACTTCAGCAATTTCGGGAAATCAAGCTCGTGGTGCTAAAAAGCAGGGGAGGATGCTGCAAATCAAGGGAACCCCGCGCTACCTTTCACTAACTAACCCAAGATGAGACTGGCCTCCCACTGCTAACCACAGGATAAGAAACTCCCCCAGGAGCCCAGAGGTGTTACTGCGACCAGATAAAAAGGAGCGGCGTCCTGCAGAACACTTTTGAAGCCGAGAGAGCTTTTGTTGCTGCTTTTAGGGCGCGCACGCGCGGTGTGTTTTTAAGGAAAGGTTCTCAAACCGATTCCCCACTCGCTTGCTTCTCTTCTCTAGCGTTGCAAAACAAATGTAAAGATCTGGGGTTCTCTTCCCAGGCGAAGGTTTCATAAACAGGACAGATCTCCCAGGACTGAGACCACAGAAAACCAACCAGTTCTAAAATTTAAGAACAATGTAAAATTACTTTGGAAATGTGCTGTTGTTCGGTAGGTGCTAAGAACCTGAGCTAGTGGTGACGCACACGTGTTGCGAGGACAGCGGAATTAAACTTGTGGGTGGAGACCCCTTTGGGGGTTGCCCATCACATATCTCGCATGCAACATACTTACATTACAATTCATAACAGTAGCAAAAGTACAGTTATACTTTTATAGCAACAAAATAATAATAAATAAATAATAAATAAATAAATAATAAAGTAGCAACAAAATAATCTTACGGTTGGAGGCCACCACCACATGAGGAACTGTATTAAAGGGTCGCAGCCTCAGGAAGATTGAGAACCACTGTAGCGCTTTGCAGTTAGGCAGGAAGATGAAGAGTTTAGGGCATCATGCTCTGCACAATGGGTTCTGTTCCACCCTGGCTCCTATGAGCCCTACTCTCAAAAAAAAAAAAAAAAAAAAAAGACAGTAAGACAGTAAGGCCTGGGGGAGCTGGGCCATGGTCAAGAAGTGAAAGCTGGCCTCCTAGCCAGAATAATGGCACAGGCCTCTAAGTCCAGCACTGCAGAAAGTGGATCTCTGAAAGTTCAACGTCAGCCTGATCTACATATGGAGTTCCAGAACTGCCAAGGCTACACAGACCCTGTTTCCAAAGAAAAAGAAAGGACGAAGAAGAAAGAGGAGGAGGAAGAAAGGAGGAGGAGAAGGTAGAGGAGGCAGCCAAAAAGCCTACAGCTACAAGGCAGGGTACATACAACACCTCCTTCCAAGCTTCAGTGTATTATCCAATTACTGAAGAGTTGCCAAGCCCCAGTTTACTGACTTGAAATGGCAGTAAATACAATCTATCTAGGGTCATTAATAAGGACTTAAAGAATTCACACTGAGGAAGTACACAGAATCTCTACAGGAACTCACAAGACAAAATACTGTTATTACTGTTACCCCAGCAGTAGGGAAAGGATAACCTTGAGTCCAGGCATTTCCCTTGCTAGGGTCCCTCCCCTACAGCTCTTTGTTCAAGGAGACCTACTTTATTCCATCTGCCTGTAAATACAGCTCTTGAACGCAGTTGCCAGAGAATCCCAAGTTCCAGGTCAGCCTAGGCTATGCAGGAAAAAAAAAAAAGAAAATCTGTCTCAAAATAAAATAAATGGGGGATACAAAATGAATAAAGTGTAATTAATAAAAGTTAAATAAAAATTTAAAAAAATAAAATAAAATTTCACTTCCTTCCAATACCTTCACTCTTCTCCGTTTTTCCTTTAGCACCCATTTTTGCATTATATAAATTAATTTTCCTAAATTTAATCTCCCACCTCCCACATATAGCCATCTAAAAACTATTCCTTTGTTCACTGACTGATATTGCCCAAGTTACCAGACCAGCACCAGGCACATAGTATGTCCACGGTATATGCTTTAGGAATAAATGCCATGAATAAATTCATTCCATGCTGACTGCCTGTGATGGGCAGGGCATTGTGCATGAAATAGGGGGAAATGACTAGATCTGTCTGAGAAGAGACATTCTTTCCCGTGGATAAAGTTCCTTCCTGGGAAGTATTCACAGTGAAGGAAAAGGGGAGAGGTCATGAAGAGTATTCAAAGACTGGGAGCATACTTTAAAGAGGTGTTAAGTTCAAGTTTTGCTGATTTGATTTTGTGTTTGTTTGCTTGTTTGCTTGTTGAGATAGGGCTCTAAAAGCCCAGGCTGGTGTCCAAATCCCTTAGCTCAGGATGACCTTCAATTCCAAATCCTCCTTCCTCCACCTCCTGAGTGCTGGGATTACAGGCTATGGACACCACACCCAATTTAGTGTTGTAAACAGAATCTTCTTAAAATGAGAAACCGGTATTTTGGTGTAAATCAGTACTTCTCTAATGCCATTCTTTCATGCCAGTCACTTTGCAAATTAAAAAACAAACAAAACTGTCCAGTGAGCTCTGTCTTTTCTTACCAAGAAACAGTGGAGTCTTGTTTGGGAGCACATACGAGATTATTTAAACATTCACCTGTGAGATGGGCTGTGGTGGTGCAGGCCTTTAACCCCAGCACTTGGGAGGCTGAGGCAGACAACTGATCTCGATCTCTGAGAGTCTGAGGCCAGAGGCCAGCCTGATCTACAGAGCTAAAACAGAGAAACCTTCTCTCAAAAAGACAAAACAACAAAATTAAAAAAGACTTATGGAGGAGAAAATGCAGCTAGTTCTTTATTAAGCATATCCCTGTAGAGTTTGTAATGGAACCTGGCCCAAACCAGGCTACAGGTAAAAGGATAACTCTTAGGCAGCCTATTGTAAGTTGTGATTAATATTTACTATTGATATATCTTCTGGTTAAAGCTGCTGTTAATCCTAAACAGCTGTATACCCAAATCACCACAGACACTGGGATTTATTTAGTTAACCTAGAACACAATGCTGGGCAATAGTTGTTCCATCCTAAACCTCCAAGCCCTCATAGTTTCCTAACATTTAGATTTCCCACATTATACTAGCTTTTAGTGATATATTAGGTCCAGTCCATTTCTCCAAGTCGTTCGAAGATCTCTGCTGCTGCCTCTGTTCTCCCAGCTCTGTCCTTCTCCCTCCTCTGCTTCCCACCTTCTGTCCTCTGGCTCCTCCCTCTCTTCCTGCTTCCTTTCCCTTGCCCCTTGCTTAACATTGTGGTTAGTTGCTTTATTTTGGCATGTTTACACAAAGTTGAGACAGGTGATGCTTAGAAAAAGTATCACAATGCAATGTCTGGATTGAAACCAGAGAGTGGAGGAGAGAAACCAGCATTTGAATGAATAAGGGTAAAATATATACATTCCAAAAGAACATTATACCAACAGCAGCCCTTTTAGGACTAAGATGGGAACCTGACTTAGGTTCAGCCAAGCTCTGGATTTGTCCTTTGACACACTCTGTGTCAAAATGTATTGGGTAAATCATATTCTGGTTTTAGGACTTGAATTAGAAAAGGAAATAGAGTTGGGAGGTGGCTCACATCTTTGATCTCAACATTCTGGGAGTCAGAGGCAGGAGGATGAGTTCGAGGCCAGCCTGGTCTACAAAGTGAGTCCAGGACAGCCTGTGCTACACAGAGAAACCCTGTCTTGAATAACCAGAAAAAAAAGAAAGAAAGAAAAAGAAAAGAGAGAGAGAAAATAGAGGAAAAGGAGAAAGCAGAAGGGAGGATGAGAAGGTAAAAGGTCATGACTTGTCAGAACTCCATATTATAGAGGCTGCAGACTGTCTGCAGCTGGACTAGTTAGGTGCATATGATTGGAACTCCATGCTGTTCCATTTTCTTAAATCAGAAAACAGCTTGCCCTGAAGAACCTGGGAGCAGTGGTGTGAGCCTTACTGTCACATGCAGGACCGTGTGACCAGCACTGCAATGCTTTTCTCCCTTGGAGAGGACACACAGTTTCCAGTTTGCCACAATCCCAGCCACTCCCCGCTTCTCTGGTTCCTGGCCTGTTCCAGTTTCCCAGCCACTCTCACTATAGCTTGAGAGGGATTCTGTGCGAGGAGGGGCGAGAGCTCTGAGTAAGCAGATATTATGCAACAGACTACCATGGGCTTCAAACATATTTTTTCCACTAGTAAGAGAACCCATTGTTTCCAAACAAAACTTTCCTGGGTATAACATCGTTTGAGCACTGCTAAGGTAAAGGAAGCCACACAGGAGACTGACAAGTGGGCAAGGAGGGCAGGGAGAAGCAAAGGCCTTTACTGGGGTGGCCCCTAGGCACACAAACTACCTTCAGTTCCAGAGGCCTGCTGTCCTGCTTTTCCATTAGTCTCATGGCAACCCTATCACTCATTCCCACCCCAGAAGAGACCTAATCAGACCAGTCAGGCGAGTGGTCCAACACTGTCACAAGCAAGAAAGAATAAAGCAGGGCTTCATCAAAGTCAATACAGGACTTTCCCTTGTCTCATTAGCTGCTTCCGTCTCTGACTCCTCACAGGAACTGCTCCAGTTGACAGAAGTAAGCTACTCAACACTTGAGGACTTGGTATCCGACTGGGGTGACACAGTGACTCCACTTTAGGTGACACAGGTGTGCGCTCCAGTTCACATGACCTCCCATACCTCAGCACCTTTGCTGTCTCATACCTCATCAGGCAAGTATTCCAGTGTGGGAAGGCACGGCATCCCTCCAAACTTCGTCTCATCTCCTCTGTGTCTGTGACTCTGTGTATGCACTTGGGGGAAGGAGGTGCGCACATGTGTGCACATGGATGTGGAAGCCAAAGGATGATGTCAGATGTCTTCTTCAGTCCCTCTCCCACCCTATTTTTTGAGATAGGGTCCCTCATTGTCTAAGTTAGGGTTTTATTGCTGTGAAGAGACACCATGACCACAGCTACTCTATAAAG